CTAGCTACTAGTAGCAAAGCATCGCAACTAGGAGCAAGGATGCTACTAGGGGCTCCTGGCTTTACTTCTAGGAGCAAGAGGACGCTACTACGCTACTAGGAGCAAGAGGACGCTACTAGGAAAAACGGCCAAATGACAATCGAGACCCCCGAGTGGCGCCCCTTGTCGTCGCTGAGGTCCTGGGTGCCTCCACAGGACAACAGTGCCAAGTCGATCGTGGGATATCGCATCTACCGGGACAACGGTCAAGGTGGAGCAATTGACACTCAACTAGCCTTGCTTGATGAGACTACCTTCTCGTACAGAGATGCCAGCCTTGTCACGGGACAAGTCTACTACTACAGGCCTTTGGGAGGAGTCTTGAGTTTCGATCGAGGTTTGCCCTGGAAACTAGTCTTGTTTTTCAATCTATGCTTGAAAAAACAGAAGTCTTGAACAACTGCCATTTTCCTTGATCTTCACTTAGTCACACCTTGATTCTTCACTTTGATAGCTCTCTTGGTCCCATGCTTTCATTTCTCCCACGCACCACTCGGGGCACTTGGACCGCCCGGGAGACATTCCAGGCTCATGGCGACCAATGGAGACGATGGCGAACCGGTCACCATCTCTGCTCAACCATCAGTGCCACCTGTAAAGCTTTGCACTCAGAGGGTTTGTCTTCTGCATGGTACATGGTACGAGGCATGGCAAGCCCAACGCTGAACGCATGGCAAGAGAAGCGATGAAGCTTTCGGGGGTAGAGAAGCGATGGCCTCCCTACTAGCGATGGCCTCCAGAAGATCCATTTTCTCCTTGTTCTCTAAGGCCCGATCCGGCGCTCTTGATCAACACTGGCACAGGCAGCATGACCTTTCGCTTCACGCCTTTGTCAGGTGCTCCTTCTGGCTGGTCACCCACCATCCGTTTCGAAGTGACGTTAGTGCCTTTTGTGTTTGCCTTGAGAAGATGCAGGAAGTGACTAGAGTGAACAACATGAATCATGTCTTCTGGTGGCCTCGATGCTACGAACGGGGCTCCTGGCCTTACTACTAGGAACAAGAAGCTACTAGTAGCAAAGGGCATCGCTACTAGGAACAAGAAGCTACTAGGGGCTCCTGGCATCGCTACTAGGAGCAAGGAAAACGCGATGGGCTCCACATACCAACCTACGTTCAGCTGTCGTAGATGGCTGTCCCCAGTGAGGCTACACCTTGTATCGGAATGATGGTCTCGGTGGAGTCCTGCGATTCCAATACGAGGGCGACATGGATGGCACATCGACTGTCGAACTCGTGCTGGGAGGCTTGGTGGAAGGCAGACAGTGCCTCGATCGCAACAACCGAGGTCCAAGCGATTATAGTAAAACAATACATTTACTGCATATCTGGATTTTCAAGGTAATTTGCTTTTTCCAAACATCCATTGGTACTTGTTTGTGCTTGTAATCCTGTATTGCAGAGTTGCACTATTATCACGATTTGTTGATGCTTGCTCAGGTATTTGTTCCAAACCTCGTACTGGAGCCGCATTGGCCAAAGCCCTTTGAGCGACGTCACTGCGGTGGTGTGCTGCGAGTTCCGCAAGCCCGGGAGTCCGGCGCTGAATCTTCGACGGGAAGGCGACCAGAGCAACGAGAAGATCACCTTGGCCTGGGATCCTGTCACAGTGCCTGGGAGCAGCAGACGAAGTGTCTACCAGTAACAAGAAGCTACTAGGGGCTCCTGGCCTTACTACTAGGAGCAATGTTCGCTGCTAGGAGCATTTCGGGCATCGCTACTAGGAGGGATCGGACGCTACTAGGGTGGTGCGACGTTGTGTGAGGTTTTCTCGGTGTGGAAGGGGTTTGGGTCCCGGTTGGGGTCTCTTCGGGTCCCTTTGGAAGAAAGAATGGCAGAGAATTCAGCAAGTGCTGTGGCCATGTAGCCATATGTAGCCTATAGCTGCAGTTCACGGCTGCCTCTCTTGGGTTTTCTTTCCTTTGACGGGAACGTCATTAGCTGCTCTTACATGCTGCAACACTGCAGCTACCCTGAGCAAGCCAAAGGAGACCCATCGACACCCCGAAGTCCAGCCCGAAGTCCAGGGTGCCGGATTTCCAGAGGTTCTGTCCAGTTGGGACTTCACAGCTGTGCTGTGCTAACAGCAGTTCCTACAGATTTCTGCAGCACAGCAGCACCACGGACTTCTCCAGTGATTGCACTTTTCGGAACATGGCACCTTTCAACCTCCAAAATAAGTGTTCTTTCTTTTCCGAAGACCTGAGGACATCGGCAGTTCGTCCTTGATCTATTACCGGCTCTACATGGACGACGGCTACACGGAGATCTCCAAGAACACGGCCTCCGGCACGACCACCACGGAGTTCTTCGAGTTCTTGACCCCTGGGAATCCCTACCGCTTCGCCGTGGCCGCCGTGAACGCCGCGGGGGAGGGTCCCCGGAGCGAGCGGATCACGCTGACGGCATCGGATGTGGCGGGGCAACCCTATGATGTGGAAGCGACCTTTCAATCAAGTTATCGTATTGATCTGGCATGGAAGAAACCTCTTCTCACTGGCGCCTCAGGCATGAGTGGCTACAAGGTGTGGGTGGATGATGGCAATGGAGGCAACATCAATAACTTGATTTGGGATGGTGGCACCAAAGCCTCGACGCTCTACTACTCCTGGGAACCGGTCTTCTCCGATGGATCGGTGGCGCTGCTCGCGGGGCATACGTACCGCTTTCAGGTTCAAAGTGTGAATCCCACCGGCGACGGTGCCAAATCCAATCTCTTCTCCATCGTGGCTGCTGCGAAGCCTGACTCACCCGGCAGACCAACGGTTGACAGGCAGGAGCTCTTCAGTTTCTTTTTTAAGCCTGGGGGGGCAGGCCCTAAAAGGAGGTAGTGGCTAGGTAGCTAGTAGAAGCAAATGGCTAGTGGCCTCAGTAGCCACTACCGACAGGACGCAAAATAACTCACGCTCGCACTATTATTCATTTGGTTCCTAGGTTTTTGGGGAAATTTAAGCAAGGTGAACAATGGTAAACAGGATTCATTGATGAGCATGGTACTCAAGATAATCAATTCAAGACGATTCAAGAACAATAAAGGACGGAAAAAGGAAGGCCGAACTCATGACATCATTTTCATCAAGATCTAGGAACCATTTCGTTAAATGAGAGTTCTTCAAGGAAGCTTTTGCAAAATGGGGGCATCCTTGAAGAACAAAAAGTTTTACAACTACAGCATCGCTGGGAACTTACTCTCTACTACTGACACCATACTACTAGCCACTGTTACCTTACCTGGCTACCTCTCTTTAACCCCCTAAGCTCTTCACCGTTGGCCTCCTCCTCCCAAATGGTTTTTTGTAACTCAACCTGTCTGAGCTGAACCCAGTCTTTCAAAGAGTTTTCCCAATTCCAACCTTCAAAGCACCAGCTGTCCGACACTTGGAAGCGTGGAAGCATCCGGAAGCATTTAAAATGCATGTGACATGTATTAAATGTATATTTGTAGGCTTATTAGGTTGGAGGCCATCGCTATTGTGAACTCTTCAGAGTTTCCTTTCAGTTGCGTGAGTTTGTTGCGAGGGCCGCCACATCATCTGCTGCGGTGCACCTGTCATGGACGGCACCTTACAATGGTGGCTCACCGATCTTGGGATACATCGTGGAAAGAAAGGACTCTCCCACAGCAGCTTGGACATCACTGACCACGGCAGCAGATTCTTACACCTCTACCACTTATGTGGATAGCTACAATCTGGCAGCGAACTCCTTCTATATCTATCGAGTTTCGGCCTTTAACTTGGTGGCGGTGGGCGATACGATGTATTCTCCTGAAGCGACGATCCCAGCCGCCGCGGTGCCCAGTGCTCCCACCGTGAGCTTCGTGACCTCCACGGAGACGACCATCACCGTGTCCTGGGATATCCCTTTGTCCGATCTGACGGTCACCGGATTCAGACTCTTTGCACCTTGGATGAGGCGTGAACGCTGCCGCGAACGCTGGTTTTTTTAGCGTTTCTTCTTCCCTTCCAAACCCAAACCGCACGGTGGGTTCAGGTTTCCAAGAAGGGTTGAAGGAGCTCTTTTTTCTTTTCAGATTTTGATTGTAGACATGTTTCATCAGGAGATACCAAGCAGTTTCTGTAGAATCCTTTTTCAGTTTCGAAGCCGAGGCAGACAATGTCTTGAAGTACGATGGTGCTGGAGTAAGCACCGTCCGAACCTTTACTTTGGCTGGATGCAGCACAGGCAACCGGACCTAATCATTTTCGCAGGAATGGTGGGGATCAATGGAGCTTTCTATACAAGAAGCTACTAGGAACAAGGAAGCAAGTAGGTTGGAGGCCATCGCTAGTAACAAGAAGCTACTAGTAGCTAGAAGATGCTAGAAGCTACTAGGATCTTCTCTGAAGCAAAGAGCAAAGAATTCGTCATTACGTTAGTTCATTCCAGCATATTTTTCATTGCGGTGTGGTTTGATTGGATTCTTTTTGGCCGTGGACATTTCCTTGTGGAAGTGGACAACTAGCGGTTTCGAAAAGAGCTCGGTCATCCCAGCTCCGTCGTCCATTTCGAGGGCCCCATTGGCCCCGCGGCAAACACCGAGGGGCAAACGTGTTTCGACTAGTAACAAGTGCCTTACTAGTAGTAACAAGTGCCTTACTAGTAGTAACAAAAAGCTATTAGAATTAAATGTAAAATAAATTAGTTAATAGCTTCTTGTTACTACTAGTAAGGCACTTGTTGTTACTAGTAAGGCACCTGCCAATGAGATCTTTTTACGCAATGGGAAGCAGAGTTTATCCGAGAAAACTCCAGCAAAATAGCTTGTCCTGCCCAGGCAACATGCATGACTTCCGTGCAACGGCCATTAGTGATGCGGGTGAGTCTGGCTACTCTGCATCTTTGCCAAGATATTGTGCCAGGCGAAGATGGACTCCGGAAGCTTCAGTCGAATTGAAGCGATGCATTTTAGCTTTAAGTAGCCTATAATTGAAGCGTCCTCATGACCACATGCTTAGTCAAGTATCACCTCCACGTCCGTGCTGTTTGTCTGGAGACAGTCGGAGGGGATCTTGAAAACCAGAATTACCTTCTGCTTGGAAGAGCCTGCATGAGCAAACTTTCCAACAGATTCAAAGGTCTGAGTTCAAGATTTGAGAGGGTGTCAGCAATCTAAATGGTCTTCTAAAGAGCTAGTTAGAGAAGATGAGAGAAGTTTAAGATTAGAGACAGTCTTTAGAAGGTCGGTCTTTTTTGAAGGGCTTTGCAGCTCTTGCAGGCGGCCATATCCACCAGCGCAGCCAACGTTAAAGTCGACGACCCTGAGCATTGTGGAGTCTTGGATATAGAGTAATGTAGAGTTTTCTTTCCCTATCTCTCTCTCTCTCTCTTTTACAATAATCATTTTCTTACTTTTTCCTTTTCTTTCTTTGTTCGTCGGACCTACATACCATTCTTTTTTCCTCCTGTTCCAACGACCCTTGGTTGGGTTCTCGTTTGCTGTTTGCTTGATAGGAGAGATGTGAAGCAGTATGCAATATGCTAAGTAAGCCAGGGAAGACTCCAGAAAGAGTGGGCATGAGTTGATGAAGTGTTAGTGACAGTGGTTCTTGACACCAAGGAGATCCAGTGGATGGCCCCTAGCAACAATGGTGGTATGCCAATCTCAGGATATAAGGTGCAGAGAGCAAATCACGACACCTATTTTTTTGGGACAGTTCAATGCCTCCAGACGGACAATACATATTTGACAATTCTGCCAGAGAATCAACATTCTTGCTTGGATGACACCGCATTCCTCTGTCCTTCTCGGAAGTGCAAATACCGTGTCTTGGCCATCAATGGCGTGGAGGACGACAACTTCGCAGATGTGTCGCCCTACTTGGTGGCGACGGCCGCCAACCTGCCGATTCCACCCTCCACAGTGACTCGTGATGATCCTCCCAGCACGAAGACAGCAATTGAGGTTCAGTGGCCTCCAGTGACCTCAGAGGCAGATACAGGTGGAGCATTAGTCATTGGTTATCGAGTTTATGCGAACACTGGTATTGATGATAGCCTTTCCTTGGTCTTCGATGGATCTGGTAGCCCATCTGTACGTTCCTTCAAGCACACCGGCTTGACTCCTGGCAGGCGTTATTGGTATCAGGTAAGCTCTGTGAGTAGCGTTGGGGAAGGCACTCGGAGCGGCATCTTCACCTTTCTCGCAGCTGAACCACCAACTGCTCCTTTGCAACCTCGCTTTGTGACTGCAGGCTTTGGATCCATTACGATTGGACTTGATCCACCACCATCGGATGGTGGCTCTCCAATTGTGCGCTATGCCATCTACCACAACGATGGCACGGTGAACGGATTGCTGAGTACGCAAGTCTTGGTTTGTGACATGTCCCGAACCGAGTTCGCTGTGCCCAACCTTTTGCTTGGGCGAGATTACCAGATTCAGATTCAGGCGCATGCAGACTGCCCCACCGGCACTGGCTCTTCGCTGCATGAGTATGATGCTTCTGGTCTGTGTGTGAACGATGCTGACTGTACACTACCAGGTGACCGAAGTGATATTGCTCTCTACACAGCAACGGATGTGCCTGATGTGGTTGCACTTGCTAAGGTTGATGGGACCCAGACACGCACCGCTGTGACATTTCGATGGGCGGCACCCGGCAATGATGGCGGTAGTCCAATTACAAGTTACGAACCATACAGAGATGATGGTTTAGGTGGTGACTTTGTGCGGGTTGATGTACTTCCGACCAACTACTTCGAGCCAGATACAGCCCTCTCCGTGACGGGTAACGAGTATAAGTACTCGGGCCTGGTGACGGGCCGACGCTACAACTTCTTCATGGCGGCCTGCAACAAGCGTGGATGTCGCAGTGGGTCGATCTACGGACCCCTCACGGCCGCAGCCCCACCGAATCAGCCAGATCCACCCATGACGACCGGCACGTCGGCCAGTCCTCCAGCGATCAATTTCACGTGGACTCCTCCAGAGAATGGTGGAATGCCCATCCTGAAGACCGTGATCGAGAGAGATGATGGCCAGGAGAGATGATCGGGAGACGATCACCGGTCACCGGTTCAGCCCGCTTTCTAAGCTGCTGATGTGGACGGTATGCCCCTAGCATTCGAAGGAGCAAGAGACCTGCATTGAGCGACTGTTCCGGGATCTTGTGGCTCAAGCTCCTGAAGTTTTAGCACATCCGGATACAGCTCACACCCACAGCCAGTCAACCACAGCTTCCCAGAACCAACTGCAGTACAAGTACAAAGCACACTCTCGATGTTTCGTACAGAACATGGTTTCTCACATTCGAACCTTTGTTTTTTTTTTTGGAGGGCTCAGAGTCAGCCATGAAGCCACAAAAGGGGGCTTGGACGGGTTGGACCCTTCTCTTTGCGAGCCCTCGCGATGACATCGCCCCTGCTTGCACAGCTGGAAACAGGTTGTGGCCTTGGTAGAAGAATGACCGTAACAGGCATCAATAGGTTGACCGGCGGCTTTTCACAGTCAGTAAAGCTCAGAACACCACGCGTGACCACCCTTTTCTGATTTGGTCGAAGGCCTTGGGTCGGTTCTGGGAAAAAAAAACACTGAAAAAGAGACATCGGCGACTCGGCGTGGAGTCGAGGACACGGGCGTGTTTCATCATCATCTTCCCTACTCTCGAATCAATTGTTCCCGATGGGCCTTCGCAAACAACTCCAAAAGTCACGGCTGGAGTGGTGTCTTCACATCTCATTCCGAAGATTGGGTTGGAGGCCGCTATTAGGTTGCTATATTGGGTTCCTTTTGCTATTCGGTTTCCTTTCCTCTTCACTTCTCATTCCAGGCAGCTTCGCCCTTGCGCCTGAGAGGAGTGGTCCACCGAAAAAAAACGTCGTAGACGAACAGGGTTACCACATGACGTGCGGTCTTCAGACGACGTGGAGCGTGGGGCACTGGAAAGTCCAATCAATACTTAGTGGTTCGTTTCTTTTTTCACACTTGGTCAGATTCACCTGTTTGGAGAGGTGGGATAGGAACGGCCACCTCTTTTCATGGAAAAGCGCGTTTGGCCAGGAAGAGCTCCCAGCCTGTCGAGAGTGTGGATCTCAAGCTGAGACGTGTTTTTGCAGCGGATTTCAGGTGAACATGTCTGGTTGAAGACGAAGCTGCTGAGGTCCAGTCTCGGCTCAAGACGTGGGTGCTGACAGCTCGGCGCAAAAGTCACCAGGAGATTGGGAGAACTAACAGGTTGCAATGGCCTCCAACCCAATAGCGATGGCCTCCAATCTAATAGCAATGGCCTGGGAGAGCTAACAGGTTGCAGTTGCAGATCTATCCAAGTCTGACGTGAAAGATTCAAGTTTGGTTGCTGTGCACAACTCCATAAGCATCACAGATCAATGACCATGTCCAGATTTGTTTCAACCCCTGACTTGGTCTGGATCCCCCCTACTTCGCCCCTGATTTGCATGGTGTGACAGGAGAGACGAAAGGATCCAGCAGGTCAAACGCGTCCTGGACTTCGAATTGGACTATGTCACGCTGGGTTTCGTGAAAGAAGCAAAAAACACAGCGACATGCCATCAGCGCTTCATCAGCGCTTTCTTCGTCATGTTTCTCGTTGGATTTGCCCAAGGCATCCTCCCTGGACGTCCTCTTGGACGCGGAGGAGGCCGGGTGACGGTTGGAAAGACTTTGTTGGTGAATGTTGGTGCCGGTGCACAACCCCAACGTGACGATTCACAGGTTTGCATCACCAGAACACTACTAGTAGCAAGGACGCTACTAGGGGCTCCTGGCCTTACTACTAGGAGCAAGAAGCTACCAGGAACAAGGGCATCGCTACTAGGAGAAGGGACGCCCCTTACTTTTCATAGCCAGAAAGGACCTTTCTAGGATGTCATCGCCCCCTTGAAGAACAGCACCTTCTCCTTCATGCCCTCTTGAGGTCTTGGCGTTTTCAGCATTTCACGTAGGAGCGATCGGACGAAACACGAACGGGGCTCCTGGCCTTAGGAGCGATCGGACGCCCCTTTCTCTTCACCTTCTCTTCGTCCTTTGCACGTCAGGCGGAGTTTCTCGCCCAACGAGTTGCAGCAGGTGAGGCATCCGAAGATTCCTTGGAAGAGGCGCTGTGGAGAGTCTGGTAGAGTCCGGAGATGGCTCCGTTCGAGTCGCGATGCCAGGGGCCCCTAGTAGCAAACATTGTTGCTAGTAGCTACTTGCTTGCCTCGGTGATGTGCCTTATTTCGGTGCTGCACAGTTGATGCTGCATTTGATCATCTGACATACAAACGAGGTCGTGAAGTAGGTTTTCCTTGAATAAAAGGCAAACTTGGTGTGAAACAGCTCTGAGCATCGATCTTGCTAATGAAACTCTTCCTTGAAGAGGCTTTGCTTGTTTGCAACAGTGTCGCACTTTTGGCCAAACGGAGTTTTTGAACAATGCCCTCATGTTATATATGCCAAGGACCTGCTGTTTTCTTATACGTATTACATAACCCACACCTTCATTACAAACATCCTACCTGAATCCAGAAGCCTCCTCTACCACAAATTGCTACCCTCCTTTGTACACTTCAGCTCCTTGATAAGTCTCTGATCGTGTTAATGAATTTATACAAGGCAATACAAGCAATAATACGCGCTCCATTAAAAGGAGTCGTAGTCTGACTGAACGCTTCCTCGATAATGGATTACAACTCTTGGATGTTCTTGATGGCCAAGAATCCTTCTGTTTTGCTTTTTGGTTTGGCTCCTGACTTGAACATTGCCTTCTTTTGCTTGTTTCTCAGTATTCTTGAGGATGACAGAATCTCATACTAGAAAGAGGCAAGCAAGAAGTAGACATTTACTTGACCAAAACATGAGCCTTGAGGATAGGAACAGCTTGCGAACAAGATGAGAAAGGCAAACAACTTCAGAAAGGCCTGAATAAGAAGACAGAAGCCAAACTACGCATGGACCATGCTATTCAAGGAAGGGAAGCAAAGGAACACCTATTTGAAGTTGGCAGGCAATAATTTTTGGCGAACTATATATTTCAAGGATCGGGTGCTACATGAGGTATGAGACAAATCAGTTCAGTGATAGTCGAGCAACTAAGCAGAAAATGCATGATCGATAGGATTTGCTAGGTATCAAAACGTTGTACAGGGTTATGGGACAGCCATAGGTCGAGTTTTCCGGCTGCACCACCACCGAAACCACGCCACTGCATCACTCCCAAGAGAAACGCAAACAGAAATTGACAACTAATTAGAGAGGTGTTGGTTTGCCAGAAGTTCCCCAGCAGAGTTTATGTAGATTGTTGCTTGGTTTTGCATGTTTTTTCACTGTTTTGATTTCGTGTGCAGAGTTTCCAAGAATCTCTTCATTTTCCATAGATTTTGGAAAGTATTCACCAGACATGTTCGATCGTTTCAATCTTTCATCGTGCACGATCGCAAGTGAAGAACCCCAAACCCCAAGGCGAGCATCGCGGTTCATCACAAGCATCTTCAAGAACGAATGTGGAAAAACAACGCTGCCAAGGGTTCTCGATCTGTCTTACATTAGGAGAGGTAGAAGTCTATTGGTCGTAGCTTAAGCCCTGTTCCAAATTTCTTTGAGCAACCCTTTTGGCAGGGCTTGATTCCTGAAAGGCTTGAACAACTCTTGCGCCTGTATATTTCTCACCACTTAAAACGATCATCACACTGTTTTTCCCGCGTTCGTTCACGATGAACGTCTGTGCTGCGCAGCAGGCCGCCTACCTGTTGCTCCAAGCCATGCCTTCGGCATTGGATCCTGACGCCTTTGCCATCCCTCCACCTCTCAGTTGGGACCTTCGATACGGGGACGGTGTCGATGGACCGAGGACCCGGTCCCTTCCGCGGTCTCCGGTGCCGCGGTCCGGGCGGGCCGAGCTCGGGCACGGCGTGCCGCTGCGGCTGGTGGCACGGCATCCGGACGTAGCTTGGGAAGTCGATGGTCAGTTGCAGCTGCTGATTGGCGCTGCGAAACGCACAGGTGACCCCAGGGATGTTTGGTGATCTGCGGACCTAAGACAGGCTGCAGGTGTCTTTTGGAGAACATGCTGCGCATGTGTTTTGCCACATCCATGTGCAGTTCTTCAAGTACCCTCGACGGCCCCGCGATCTAGAATGCTATCAAGCCTCAAGCCTTTGTTGAGTTTTCCTCCCTCGTTCTCGTATCATTCGATCTTGCGTTGTACAAGACAAAAGGATATCAAAGCACAGCTGAAGATGTTCTGGGTAGAAGCATGTGCGGCGATAGTAATTAGAGGCGGAGATAGGAAAGTGACGGAGTGTCATTTGCACAGTTGCTACAGCAGTTGCAACAGAGGAAAGTGAAGGCCTCCAGTTTACGTTTCAAAACCTCCGTCACTTGACTGGCGCAGAGCGAATGCCAGTTTCATCGGCAAACTTAGAAGCAGCTTAACCCAGCTGAGACCAGCGCTGAAAAACAGGTGCCGATAGGTGCGATGGATCAGATCTGAAGCTTTAGACTCTAAAGACCTTTCTTTCTTTCCTCACCTAGCGATGGCCTCCAGAAGCGATGGCTTCCAACCTACTAGCTTCCTTTCCTTTCTGTTCTCAGAACTGCAGAAACATGCACACCAGAGCTCTCTTGCTCGGTGCGTCACAGGAGGGCGCCGTTCTCGCGGTCCGTGGAGGGCGGTCGGCCTGAAAGCCCGTCCAGGACGATCTCTTCACGGTGCTGGCGGAGGTGGACGCACCGGACTTCACGTATTCAGATGCTTGGTCGACAGGAGCTGAAGATGCTCCTCATGTGAAGAAAACGCGGATTTTCTCCTATTTTTCAAGGGCTTCAGTTGTCCTCAGTACAGGTTAGTTTTGCAACGCATGATTGCTTTCTAAGGACATGACAGTGACAGCTGGACTCACTTACCGCTACAGGTGCAGCAGCTGTTTGGTTGGTGGTTGTTGGTTGGTCAGTTTTCTTTCAAATTCCGCAATCCTGGCCGACAACCCGGCACAGTGAGTAGCTGGTTTGTGATGGAAGTACTAGATGGGATCACCAATCCCGTGCTTTGTCAAATGTTGACCTGAACTTTTCAGTGGCTTCGTTTTTCGAGCTTCAGTTTCTCCAGGATTCAGATCCAGCACGAGCAGTCATCCAGCGAGTTCAGCAATTTGGCCACTTTTGTAGCAGCAGGCCATTCGAACAATCGCAGCCTCGTGTCACTTCTTTTAGCACTTTGACGCCAAAGGCTTGCCATCCCAACCGGATGCTGTCACGTTGGTCTCACAGCCGCCTTGCATGCAATGAGGTGATACACAAGAACATTTTTGGTCTCACCACTGAAACATTTGCAATGCTTTTGCACACCTTTTGAGAACCTGCAGTATTGGAGGCCACTTGACGGTTGAATTTGTCGATCAATTTGTTGAGGTCAACGACCAATATTTCAGTGTCATGGACGACACCTGCTTCCAATGGTGCTGACATCTTCCAGTGCGCAGTTCACATCTCTTGTCATATTCGCAGTAGCAACGCCGCTCTTTTGGCACTTTCTCGCCGTCTCAAGCCGTTAAGTCTTGGGCACGTCTCATTCGCAGGTTTATCCTTCGGCGGGATGATGGTTTGGGCTCGACGCTGACGCAGATCTACCGTGCGCCCCAGACTTCGGTCTGTTGGTGCCCTGTTGGCGGTCTAGCTCTAGTAACAAGGGCATCGCTACTAGTAACAAGTGCCTTACTAGTAGTAACAAGAAGCTATTAGAAACAATGTTCGCTACTAGGAACAAGTGCATCGCTACAGGTAGCAAGAAGCTACTAGGAGGCCATCGCTCCATTAGGTTGGAGGTTGGAGGCCATCGCTAGTAGGTTGGAGGCCATTACTACTAGTAGCAAGGAGCTACTAGAAACAAGGGCGTTTGTTTGCAAGTTTGACAAGCAGCAAAGCTGCACGAAGAGTCCGGGGATGTGGCCAGGTGGTGCTGCCACAAGCTTCGAAAGCTCTGACCTGGCAACCGGGCGTCCCTCAGCGGCATGCCAAGGGAAGCCGACTAATTGCGAGAATTCATTTTTTGACAATCACAAATTTAGGATCACAAAGTTGCTTCGCATTGTTTCGGGCAATCCTGTGCTTTGGCCTAATCGACTCACTGGTTGCTATTGGTTTGGAGCATGGTAGTGCGTTTGTTGCTGCAAACAGTTGCTCTGGCGATCTTTTGTTTGGTGGAAAACTGCGAACTATCCCTTTTGTCCGATAAAAATCCTGAAGAGTGCTCGTGGAGGTTACTACTCCTTCACGGTAGCTGCTAGAAGCGCGGCAGGCCCATGCTGTAATTGAATCTTTGGGACATATCAAAGACTCAGTGAGACTTCAACGGTAGGACTTGATTGCGTGTTTCGAACTAAATTCATATAAAAAACATTCATACATCATATAGCATATCATATCATATCATATCATATCATATCATATCATATCTCACTGATGGTCATCGTAATTCTATTTTTCTAATTTCAAGAGTCTTCGATCAAGTCTTCGGAAGAGTCTTCGACCTGGAGGTGAAGGCCCAGAGAGCACGGTTCAACGGTTTTTGTCTGCATCAATGCCAGCCCCTGTCAGGCAGTCGTAGCCTTAGTTTCGCGACAACAACACCCGGACACGAAGTTCTTGAGCTATAAGAGGGATGTGGGGCTCAAGCGCCGCAAGCTATGGAGCTTGGAAATACGTCTGACTACAATCTCTCTCCAAATCTCGCTATCTTCCAGTCTTCCAAAAACAGCTGACGTGAAGACACCCAATCTCGGCACCAAAATGCACATCCAGCAGAATCAAAGGACTTCTCTGAGGCCTGTTTTAAAGGAGCCCCTAGTAGCGTCCTTGCTCCTAGTAGTAAGG